CACTACATTCGAACCTTCCAATGGTTTCGAAAAGAAGTTTTTGTCAATTTCACATTCCGCTCGGTTCTTCTGTCACATGGTCGTTGTGCTATCTCGAATTTATGCTCCCGGTGTCCACTCTCTAATTAGCATATTATTGTTTTGTAGCGTCACCCCATCTTCATGAATCAAGTCCATGTTCTCCTCATCTTCACGTGGGTCCAATGCTAATGCAAATAACTTGCTGCTGGTTTGCTTACGTGACCATTGGATTACTGGGAGAAGAAAGATAGTCCAGGCCGGAGCCCAGCTTAGAAGCAAGTGACAAAGGCAGACATACCTTGAATCAACAAGACGACTAATGATGGCTGATGTGGGTCAGCATTGGCATAAACTGCTCACATGAGAACGAAGGCGCTTAGCCGATTAATATACAACTATCACCCACTTTCCATCATCTTCATTTTATCTTAACTCCCTTGCTGACCTGGTAGGTGTTGCGTAACGCAGATAAGAGTACTGTGCTCAAATCTGGTTCAGGAACAATCCGTACTCGAATATATCTCTCGTAGCTATGGTTCTCCACGGTGGACGAATTTGGGGAACGTGATTCAAAGTGAAGTCTCTCGAATTCACATTAAGCTGGTAAAGGATTCTGGGATTAACTGTAGGGAAGTGAAGACAATTTTAGCCTCCGGTAGAAATTCTATCGTCCAGGTGACGAAATCTCCTCGCATATGTGCAAGTGTATGCCATTCTGCGGAATCTGAGCCGCTGTCTGTTGGTCAAACACCAAGTGGATGTACTTCAGAAACACAACTACACGCCCACTTAGTCTCATTGCAGTGCATAAGAAAGTCCACCCATCACTCTCATGTTGTTTGGTGTGTTTGTGGGTCAAGTTGACCGAAAGAAAATCGATTCAGGTCAGTTTGGTGCGGCATGGTGCTTAGTACAAACTGGGTGGAGAAACGTGATTGATTGCCGACAAATATCTGTTTGTATTACGCAACGAAAATTAAGTGGTGTTTCCTATGTTTATTTCTTATTATCTGACACCCGCATGTCAGTGAAATACCGGCTTTTGAACTTAAGCAAAGTAGTTAAAAAGCTACCTCAATTTTTCCGCGATTTCTCTCTGCTGCGTTTGAGAAATTACTACATTCTGGAAGTGAAGTACATGGGTTTTCATTTTTCTGTTGCCATTTTTGGACACTGTCACCTCTCAATGATAGGTCTGTTAATTAACTGGACGGTTGCCAAAAGTCGATGTCGATTTCCTCAAAATCACCTTTCGGCCTATACAAAAGATGAAGTCTATAAAGCCTGTCGTTGAGCTCCCGAATATAGTTTATGTTCTATAGAGGAAAGTGTTGGTAACTCAGGTAGCGTAGATGGTCGTTGACTTGTTCGCTGAGCTGGGCGATTTGATTGCGAACGTTTCATCACCAATGACTATAATCTGTACTACAATTCATGGTAAAATTCGGGAATCAATGGTGCTACATGTGAAGAAGCTAAATTGATCAACGCCCTATAACATCATGTTTTTTTTCTGCCAGGACATCTCCTCACTCATTTCACGGTGTCTCAGTGCAAGTTAAGGAGTGGGGAATTCTTAAGTGATGGAGTGGAATCGGAGTCATCTCAATGAAGGTTAGGAAAATAATTCAGGGTTATGTCAGAATTGACATGGAATCCGACGAAGCGCTGACAAGTCGAGCCCAGTAGATAAGATGTTGCTGAAAGCTGAGCGAAATGTGTTACATCGACCTTGTGCAATGCTAGTGGCCGATCGGTACGCATTCGGACTACTTTGGGACAATTCAAAGACGAGAAAACCAATGTGTTTTGAACTGAAACCCCATCTCTGATATATGTATCCTGGAGCTTAATTCAACGTCCCATGGTATATGTTTAGGGGATCATCCTGTAGGTGCCGGTCAGTAATGGGTAACAGCGTTTAAATTGCTTCGTTCAGGGTAGTCATTTTTTTCATGTACTGGAGTCGTCAGTTCGTTGGCCTACAAGCTTCCCATTATTGTTCAGCAAAGTCAGCTCTAGAGGTAGAAATAATGCAGTTCAAGAGACAACCGACTCCGACACTCTAATATCGAAGAGGATGAACAGGCTCAACAGATTCAACCACATATTTTGTGCATTTTCTTTATAATCCCTATGAAGGACAGTTGCAAGGACAAGAGTTCATATGCTTAGGTAGGAGATTTACTAACTGGTCACTGGTTTAAAAGTGGGTGACGCGTGAATTATGTATCCGAGAATAGTAAGATATATTTTCATAACCACTCTTCGAAGAACGACATGTGAGATTATGATAACAACTTATAAAGAAGGAAATAACTTGAAAAAACTCACTTTTGTTGCGATATCTTGGTGGAAGTTTAACCGTTTAGACGGACATAGCGGCAGTGAGGTCATCAGTTTGATTCATAACGGGGGCAAATAAAATAATGACATGGGGAAGACTAGAATGTACCAGAATTTATTAGAATCCGAATTAGTTTGCAGATGAGTGTATATTCGCTAATTTGGTGCAATTCGGTTTGAATTAGAACATCAGGTTGACGGAAACCCGGGGACTGCGCCTACCTGATGAAGCCCAAGAAGGGCGAAACCGGTCGTGGGCTGTCGATGAATTTTCAGCAACCTTATGACTAGTGCATTACGAATATATACGTATCGCGATATCTCGAATATCTTAGCGACTGAAACATGAGGCGGCCTGATATAGCTTATTCAGTTGCCTGGAAACATCACAAACGAGAGATTCAGCCGGGTTCCAGGTGAGTCTCTCGAAAAACCAAGTTAGTTTGCAAATGAGTGTGTTTCGTTAATGTACAAATCAGTTTATTGGTCGGTTTGTTGGTCAGCTATCTTGCTGACTAATTTTGGACGTCGTCGCATGGTGCAAATCCGACCAATTCGTCCATGTGGATACGCAACCCTATTTCGCCCGACAAGCCCAAAAATAATGATTATGAAGAGGTTGGGCTGAGAATACCTCTTTTTAGGAGCCGTTTGTAAAATCACATGAAGTTGCGCAGAGTATGCACTGGAGTAACTGATTCCTCGACCTTTCTGGTTTATCCGTTTTGGGACTGACCTGTTACTATGCATAACTAATAATTCCGTATACCGTTTGGGCTGAGCCGCAAACAATTCCACGTAGACGTCCTGTAAAGCCAAATGGAAAAGATCAGGGATTGAACGGAGGGGCAGTTCTCAAATCATCATTATGCCCAACTGGTGATTCGGTATTGTCAGTTTAGCAGACGCAACTGAATGTTGAGAAACATCCTAGTCAGTGCTAGCTACCATTCAGCTGTGTCTATACAACGATAGTCACAGAGAGTCACCTCTAGCACTGTTTTAGGCCTAATCCTCCGGAATTTCAAGTGCTGTTGCGCGTCTTCTTCAAGGGCACCAGTAATATACACTAAATAGAATATTGTGAGGTACATAAAACCACAACCCAAAACAACACAGTATACTTTAGATGAATTCAGGATAACAACGAAAAATGAAGTTCAGCCTAGCGAAAAATTAGAGTTCAACATATGGAATCAGGCTCGGCCACCTTAGGTTAGAGTGGTGGAGACTACTAAGTGCGCCTCATGCTGCCTTTCATAGGCACTCGCATTTAGCCAGCTAGTGCTAAAATTTGTTCCGCTGGGTATGTACAGTGACAGAGTTGTATTTTCAACCTTCTAGAATACTCGGGACATTAAGGAGCAGCTTTCCTGATATGGGTGGGAACAACCTAGGAGGTGAGACCATTGGTGTCCGAATGGGATAGACCGGTGATGTATTACTAATTAGTCGGAAACAGAATTCATTGTATGACGTTGTATAATTAGCTGTGATTCCGTGCACACGATGATTATTGATAGTCAATCCGATCGAATTGCTCAGTGTGCTAAGACATTTTCGTAGTTTTGGTCTGTGCAGTGATGGTCCGGGTGTTAATTCTGGCACTATCCTAGGCCTAGTTATCCGGTAACTACCACTATCGTTTAGCCGACGAATCACAGTGTCCACTGGCAGCCGACCAATCCTATTTGACTAGCTTAAACAAGACCGCATTCGCTGTGGATCCAGCTTGTTTATTCTCAAGGTCTGGGAAAAGCTACCTTTGTGAACCGGTTAAATTTATTCTTAATTTCACTTGGAAAGACCGATACAGTCATGAATAAAAAAGACCTTGTTATCATGACCATTTAGTGAAGTTAGTGACACGCACAAAGTAAATCTAACCAATTCATACGTAAGAAAACTCTTCCACCACCACCACCTAAAGGAAGAACACATTTGACATTCTACAGGAATCTTCTTTATAAGTGAATGAATATAAATAGTATTAGTTTACGACTTGACACACCACTCTGTTTACAAACAATTGATGAATTTTTTCATTGCCAGAATTCGAAAACCAGTCATCCTGTGCCAGGACAGATCCCGAACCGCATATAGACGAAGAAGACTTGTATCCTTTTGAAGAATCAAAAAAGACTTGAACAAAAAAAACGCGGGATTGGCTAACGCTTCTTTTAAAAAAAGACTTGAACAAAAAAAACGCGGGATTGGCTAACCAGAGGCTTCTTTCAGATCCTGTGCACTTTCAGCTTGTTGGTTCCTACAGCTCATGCCAGTAACCATGCTTCGTATACCTTGACTCATTCCAACAGCGGATTCGTCTCCTCCCTGGAAGATTCTAAGGTAAACTTTTTTGTATTTTTGAGCTCTAGTTTAATCTTATACTGACACCCGGAGAGGTATTCACTTACCAGAAAGTAGACAGCATTTTCTAGGTCTTCAAGTGGTGATTGTAGTAACAGATAGTGTAACGGAAGATACCCCCATGGTTTACTCCACCAACGCCTTTTGTGTTTGGAATTCCGTTTAGAAATAGGTTCACTTGAGAATATGTATCCTTCATCATATATCTATATTTATTAATTACCGCCAGCGTTTCCAGAGGATTCATTCCAGCGTCCACACCATTATGTCCAAGATGACCACGATTTCGACCAGTAGAACCAGCACCATTCATCATCGTCATCATCATCATCATCATCATCATCGTCATCATCATCATCATCATCATCATCGTCATCATCATCATCATCATCATCATCGTCATCATCATCATCATCATCATCATCGTCATCATCATCATCATCATCATCATCGTCATCATCATCATCATCATCATCATCGTCATCATCATCATCATCATCATCATCGTCATCATCATCATCATCATCATCATCGTCATCATCATCATCATCATCATCATCGTCATCATCATCATCATCATCATCATCATTTTCATCACCGGCGGCATTACCGTAATTGTTATAGGTACCCCTGTGTCATGAAGGGTATACTGTTTGATTGGGAAGGAACCCTCTGGTTTGTGTTGTAATATGCCGAAATCAACAACCAAGAGGGTGAACGCAGAAACTTGTGTGGGAATTAAGTTGTGAGACAGAGCAGATTAGGTGACACCACTTCCTTGTGAACGTTGCGAATCAGTCGCACCTAACTGGTCGCATGGTTAGTTGTAGTTAGTTGCGAAGAGATTGCAATCTCATTACTCTCGTTCGAACAGTCCTGCTCTCATCGTGACGCAGTTGTTTTGTTTAGTCCATAGCCAGGAAAGGTAGCGCTGGACCAGAGTCTCACCATCGGTAGATATCCTTGGCTACGTTGGGGGCCCTACACGTGAATATCCGAGACAAGCATGTCACCAATACACAACAAAATCACCCTGAAATCACACGTATTATGGCGTCTAACAAGGCGATCATGTCCACTCGGTTTTACGCGTCGATAAAGCTGACTAGTTGGGAAGTGTTGACATGCTGGTTAGCCAATCGACAAGCGTCCATTGCACCAATTGACTGAGAAGTCCTGGCAGGTAGGCCACCCGACCGACATAAACAGGACAGTTACTGGGCCGCCGTTCTACCCGTCTGGTAAACCGATCACCTTGCTCATGTTTGAACACGTTGACTTGTTACAAACGTGATAATCCAAGTGCATCCAGCGGCCAACGGATTCGCATCTGCAGTCGAGAGTTCCCACCAAAATGCCACGACATGGGCTTTGTCGGAACAGAATCATGTGACACTCTGACGCTAAAGGCCTGTTCCCTGCACATACACGCTGTCTGTTATACCCCACGATATCCCCCGGGTAGATTTGCATGAGATACTTGACTTTGGTAAGCTTCAACGCGTTGAGTATATCATCCAGTTTTCATGTTACATTGCTGCCTCACTACAGTAGTCATCTCCACAGGAAACTAGTCTCACTTATCAAGTATTTGTTCCTTATGACCAATTCCTTTTTATCCAGAGGACCATGGATTTGGCGCTTTTGTTAGCTCCGATACCTAAATCAAATAGCACTAAAAACGTCGTTTCCATGTCCATATAACTCGTTTACGTACGAGTTGTTGAGAAAGGGTGTGTAATCATTCGCGAAACGTTTGGAACCGATTGAGAAACCATTGTTTTCTGAAAAGTTTGGGAACCATTTGGTCTTTTCACAAATCTTTAGTTTGGTTGATTTACACCACAGCAGCTGATGGCCGAGTTGACGCGTGGCGATCTAGGATTGTCGGTATACGCAGTATAGGTTTGCTTCACTTGTAAAACGGAATCCCATAAATCTTTTAACAGTATCAACGAATGGGGTTCCCCAAGTACCTGTAATGCATTCACATACTCAAATCAGGCCTCGTAGCCGGTTGTTATGATGAATGATGTAAACTGATGTTACAATTACCTATTCAGCGTCTTACACATAACAGCCTTCCTATATGAAGGGCTCCCAAAAGTAGTTCGATAAGCTACTTTCAGAGTCTTAACATGTCTCTCTTGGTGTGCTCAGATGGTAAGGACCTAGACACATCTGGTGAACTTATGTATGGTCTCTGCCGATTCGGTAACACCATCATGTCCGATCGCACCGGAGAAATGCACTTCATCTGATACCTCAGTAATCTAGTGTGTGACATGTCATATATAAACCTGAACACAGTGGATATTTGACGAAGTATTCGAGAGGTCAGCCTCGTTGTCCCAGTTCAGGTAAGGATAAATAGGTGGCGGACGAATAAAACCGAACTGACTCGTCTTCTACTCATGCCACGAAATTTCGTGCGAGCAGCTGAAAGTGATGAATAAATGGACCTGATATGGGCTGAAACCTTTATTTACTTATTTTTTGACGTAGTCGCAACGATTTATTCATATGATTCCGCTGTCTGTTTTGTACTGCCCGACATTCAGTCGGTCCATTAGGCAAAGCAAACAAACACTCATATACGTCCGATTATTTCAGTAAACCAGGTATTCTCTGCCGATCGTGTGACATCTCGGATTCACTTATGAAATAATTTGGACGTTCAGTTCATTTCTTCGGCTTCAAAGTTATGAATATTTTCAGTGAATTTTCTGTTTATTCGATATGATCACTCCATTATGTGCAAAACAAACTGTCTGGATCGAATAAAGGTGGTAGTAAGATGGCCTGAAAAGCATAACATAAGGCATATATTGTACTGGTTAGTACCTCAAAGCAAAAGAATAGCCCTCACTGCTAATCAAATCCACTGGTGAAAAAATAGTTATCATCGTTCACATTTTGCCGCTGTAATATCCTTGGATTGCCAACTGTGTCTACCATATTAGTTTAACATTGTTATCAATAGGCCTAGTGACAGGAGCTCACTGTTGACAAATCTGACTACACTGATATTGATACTGCCAAATATTAGGCGAGTTATGTCTAAAAGCACAGCTATCATTTGCATGATGCGGTCTTTTCTACTGCGCAAATAGGCATTTTATCACATCAGGCAATAAACAAATTGTTATGAGGTGAAATGTGCAATAAACTGCAGAAAGTAAGAGACGATTACTCAAAGATCCACGGGATGGTTGGCGCATTTGAAACACTTGGCAGAGGAAAGGAACTTATATGCTGGGAAGCCGACGGCGGCTAGTTCGCTAATTAACCATTCTAAGTAGTAGCGATGGTTTAGGTCATATACAGTGATGATTGCGCTTATACTTGCGCTCTCAGTCTCATTAGGTGATACACATCACCTTTTGTTCATCGATTTCACCATATACTGGTCAGTTTATGGGATCATATCACAAGTGGCTTGTGTCCATTTATCTGTGAAAGCTGTCGGACAACCATCCACATGTATATGTACGTCAAACGTTTCCATCGTTGTCACTCTAGAAACTATTCTCCCCTCCATGTAGCTTCGTTACTATGCCTTAGGCAACATACATTGCGCAACTCGCTGCGTGAAAAGTATATGTTTAGCACTGTCTCAGACGCGTGTTCTACATGCTCAACAAATTCGTTCAGCTGGGTAGTGTCCACTTCGGAAAAGTGGCGAATGTGGCAATGTGTTTGTGGCGCACAGCCCAGAAAAGTAATTATAGCTTGCAGTACACCACATAAAGATTGTCTGGAGAAGAATGAGAAAAAGCTAATTAGCTTAAAATTTTTGGCGTCCGTGCTCCACCAAGGACTACCTCTGGCAATAACTGCCAAAGTTTAGAGCCGCAAACACTAAGCGAGAACAGTGTGACTGTGAACTTTATTCTTTGCCACCTAGTTGAACCTTCTAGCATTGTTCACAAAGTGTAAATAGGCGATACAATGGAAGCTGTCGGGCACCATCCTAACCAAACCAGTAGAATCAGTATAGGTAAGTCCCATCGGTCAAATCCACGGAGAACTAGCCATCATACATGTAAGTTGATAACACGCTGTTCTCATTAGACGCACGAGCTACCTTGAAATCCTCCACTATCAAGCAAAGGGAGTGGCGAGTATCTTTAATCCCCCAGATCAGTACAGAAGTGTTGAGCAGACTCATGCGTTATACGTACGTCCTTTCAGAAAAAAGGCTGATACAATGATACCAGCACATGAGACGATGGTTTCTTAACGCATTTCTGACCCTCAGGTTTTCAGGAGCTATTCGTTTTCCCAGGTGGATTAGTTTATCAACGATTGCAATTTTTTGTCTGTGATGCAAATCACAATCGGAGGCCCTGACCAGATCTATGTAATCAATTTGTATTATGATTACGCATGCATTTTACGGCAGTTTACCTCCGTTCACAAAAAGGTGATCGTGGCCTTCATAGACTACAGGACATAGTGATATCGTCTGTATGGTCATGGTTTGCAGTCCCGCTTACGGGTGGAAAGTTCACACCTCTCATGATGATGGAAAGCACTGTAACCAGAGTATCATGGACGGTTGTATAAAATGGAAACGGGAATAAAGAGAGTGCATAAGAGCTCCATGTAGATTTTGCCCCACTCCATTCCCTCGTGAAAAACTTCCAGGATCAGTTCATGAGTTTAGCCGCTCGGTAGGAGGATTATCCCTGTGGATTCGGCTGCTCGGATGCACGCTTGTGTGCACGAACGTGCTGTGGCAGTTACCGTGATTTTGAGCATTGGTCATTGCGAAATCCAGCGTGATCATCATGGTCCAGTTGGCAGAAGATGGGGTCAACAAGATTGTCAACTATAAAGACTGATTCGTCCGTGTTTTGGACAAACCCTCAAAGACCCTTTTGTACACCGTTGTAATTATTAGCCTGGACCGGCTGACCGCTCCGTTTCCTTGCTTCGTGATCTCATCAATCAGTTGATGAGGCAGAGCTTCATCTCCAGCTTTGAACAGTTAAGTGGAGAACCGGTCTTCATCATGTGTCCTACCAGTTCTAAAAGACCCTGTTGTGCCTGTCTCCAGTGCAGATCCTGCGTAATTACGGGGAGGTTCATGGACACGAACTGGAAAATATCTTCCTCAAAACGAATAGTGGTGACAGGTGGGGGATGTTCATGAAACCGACTCCTTGATTATTAAACCCAGCAATCAGTACGTTGGTGCATGTTCCTCACTACTGCTCCATCAGTCCCTTAGCTCGACTGAAGGATGCGTTTCGGCCAGAGGAAATAGTGAACAACTGTCTTCAGTCGCCTATGCAGAATCATTCTTTGCTGGTGATATCTCAGTGATCTCCATCGGGGACACGAACGACCGATGCAGTTTGTCAGAGCTCGAAGAGCTTCGGTGACTCAACCGATGACCAATTAGGCGCCCTATAAATGCCACAACCAGTCCGTAGTAATTACGTATTCGCTGCACAAAGAGGCAGGAAGTGCATTGTTGTTGGTGGCTAGGATGCACAGCTCTTTTAATCTTACATCTTACACCTTTTATTCTTACATCCTTCCCGGTCGACATCGTCGTTGACCGCAAGAGCAGACGTTATAATATCGCGTCATCTTACACTTTTTGCAAAAAGAACCATGTT